GAGATAGAATATATATCAAACCCTAAACCTAAAACCAGGGCTCTCACACCAATTTTCTCTCCAAAATTTCTAACCTAGAGCCAAGAGAGGAGGGCTCCTCTTATAGAGGAGCCAATCTTGTAAAGCTTACAAGGTAAGCTAACAAGGGGTCCATCCCTCCATATGGAGGGGAACAAAATGACATACAACTGTCTTAAAATATCTGCAAAAGCAGATGAACAGTAATCAGCTGCTCAAAATTGCCATTTTGTAAAAAAGGAGTGCCGACCGGCAACAAACAGTGCTGACCGGCAATATATATTGCCGATGGGAACAAAACGCCAGCCGGTGGCCTCTGGCCATGGCCGGTGATATGTGGGGATGTCTCACAAGGCATTCCCTGCCCCTCCAAGGCAAAACACAAGTGTTTGGTGCAAAACCAGACACTAAACCTGTCGAGTTCGGAGATCCTGAGGCAGGCGCGTTAGCGAGACCCTCGGGAAACTCCAAACGAACACCAACATGATATGATCACCGTGGTGTTTCAAACGGTGACGTCCAAAGTCTCTGAGGACATCAAAAATGGATAGTCTACAGTTGCCCTCGAAAGTCAACAATGATGGGAGTGAATGTCAAAGCCCAGAGACGACCCATTTTTGACAAGGCCGAAGACTTAGACAAAGCATACAAGCTACAAATAAATGTATGCGCCCGAGGGCAGGGGCAAAATGCAAGACAATGCACAAAGTCAAGCATAACTTATGATCATGCAAGAAACATAGGGACGTATCCCTGTGTTTCAGAAATGTATAAGCATTGGAACGTATTCCAAATGCTCTTAACCAAAAAGGGAGAAACATAGGGACATATCCCGGTGTTTCAAAACGAATGAGAAACATAGGGACGTATCCCGGTGTTTCGGAAAAAGAATGAGAAACATAGGGACGTATCCCGGTGTTTCGGAAAAAGCGAAGAAACATAAGGACGTATCCCGGTGTTTCGGAAAGAAGGAAAAAGAAACATAGGGACGTATCCCGGTGTTTTGGAAAGAAGAGAGAAACATAGGAACGTATCCCGGTGTTTCGGAAAGGTGAGAGAAACATAGGGACGTATCCCGATGTTTCGGAAGAAGAGAAAAACATAGGGACGTATCCCGGTGTTTCGGAAAGGAATGAGAAACATAGGGACGTATCCCGGTGTTTCGGAAGGAATGAGAAATATAGGGACGTATCCCGGTGTTTCAGAAAGAAGAGAGAAACATAGGGACGTATCCCGGTGTTTCGGAGTGGTTCAAGCATTGGAACGTATTCCAAATGCTCTTAACCAAGGGGGGAGAAACATAGGGACGTATCCCGGTGTTTCGGAAAGATAGAAAGATAGGGACGTATCCCGGTGTTTCGAAATGGTGTGAGCATTGAAACGTATTCTGAATGCTTTTAACCGAAGAGGGAGAAACAAAGGGACGTATCCCAAAGTTAGGGACGTATCCCAAGGATTAGGGACGTATCCCAAGGGTTAGGGACGTATCCCAAAGATTAGGGACGTATCCCAAGGATTAGGGACGTATCCCAGTGTTACGAACAATGAGGAGAAACATAGGGACGTATCCCGGTGTTTCAACAAAGGAGAAGAAACATAGGGACGTATCCCGGTGTTTCGACAGAGGAGAAGAAACATAGGAACGTATCCCGGTGTTTCGGAGAGGAGGAGGAACATAGGGACATATCCCGTTGTTTCGGAATGGAAAGAGAAACATAGGGACGTATCCCGTTGTTCCGGAATGGAAAGAGAAACATAGAGACGTATCCCAGTGTTTCGGAGAGAAGGAAGAAACATAGGGACGTATCCCGTTGTTTCAGAATAGAAGAAGAAACATAGGGACGCATCCCGGTGCTTCGAAAAGGTAGGAGAAACATAGGGACGTATCCCGGTGTTTTAGAAAGAAGAGAAAGGAAACGTAGGGACGTATCCTGGTGTTTCAGAAAGAAGAGAAAAGAAACGTAGGGACGTATCCCGGTGGTTCAGAAAGGTATAAGGACGTATCCCAGTGTTTCCAAACAAAGGAGCGTGCAAAACAATGCAATGCAGGTGCACAAGACCGTGCGATAAAATGCACTTTCTATGCAAGTATGGGGGCATTTTCTATGCAACATTGAAAGCATATTCTATGCAGAAACATAACGATGCGCGGCACGCATGCAACCGAAGTGTATATGAAAGTTCACTTTCTATGCAATGGAAGGGCATCAAACACGTACTCTGGTGCCTCCGATTTACCTTTCGGAGGACTTGGCAACACAACTCTGCTCGAAAAAGGGACACCCTGTTTACATTGGCGAGAGATAACATCTGCTGCTGCTTTAATTGCCATTCTGACTTGAAGCAGGATTAAGCTTGGAGTAGAGGCACACTCATTCTTCGGAGCACTGACAAGGCCTGAAGTACATCCGGAGCACAATCACGGAGTTTTTCGAAGTTGAAGCACACTCAGATATCCGATATTTTCCTCTTTTGCTTTTGTTTTGTAGTCTGGAACCCATATAGCTTCAAATAGGTCCTGGTTTTACTGTTCTGGCATGACTTGGGTTGAACCCTGTGGTTTTAAGAAAGAACAAATTCTTGTTTTGCACAAATGTGGAGAATGGCACAGCACTCCGAGCACAAAATGATTTGATTGAAATTGAAAAATGAGTTCTCAAACGGGTATTGAGCCTACGACTGAACACAGCGCACTACGACTCGACAAAGAAAAAACAAAGGTAAACAACTAAACACATCGAGTATCACTCGAAACGACTCAAAACAAGATTTGAGACAAACAAAACAAAAGGCACGACATAGAAACGTGCACAGGGAGCCTGTTTCTTCGGGTATTGTTTCCCACCCTTTCTCATTTGTGATTCTCACATCACTCGGCCCTCAAGCTCTGTTTTTCTGAAAAAGCCTTTTTCTCACTTTTTCTCTCATCGCACATCTCTCTATTCTTCAATCTCTCGTTTTTCATCCCTCCCCAGGGTGGTTGATGAATAAACAGGAAGTTGCGGGTTCTTGCGCCAAGCATTCTGCTAGATTCTCTTCTTCTGCTCACAACAGTGAACTTTCTCCCACAGAGGGGTTGCGATGCGGCTGGATGTGCAGCAGATCTGCAATCGACATTGGTTGACGATGCTCTTACTGGGGAGTTTGGACGTGATTAGATCTGTCCAAACAAAGGAGTGGAATATCTTGATCCGTTCCCGTTCGTGCTTCGCACTTGGCTTAATACCTTGTTGCTTAGAGGATGAAAGAGCTTTCAGCCCATTGTTGTTAACTTCAGTTGTGCCCTCTTCTGGCAGGTAGAGTGCCCTTCTTGGTGAGTATGTTGAAAATGGGGGAAAGACAGGAAGCCTGACTCAACTGTGCCCCTAGTTCATCATTTTGACCATTTTTTTGTTTTGGTTTTCTACTAAAACAATCTTGACCAATATGAGAGTTAGATTAACATACTTGTTCGATTTTTGATTTGAAAATCATGCAAGTTAGGTTATGAGCACTGAAAATTTTCCCTTTTTGGGTCCAAGAAATGGTCCAGTTTTGGAAAAGATGGAATAATTTTTGAGAGATCAGTCAACCTCAGTAAAAATTCTCAAAAATTATTTTTGCAAACGGCCAATGCTCAACAAGCACGGAACCTACTCTTGAGATGCACAACTTCAGATCCGAAGGAAAATTGCCCCTTGCTTGAAAAGAGCTACACGGCAACGGAAAGTTGCCCCTTGTTTGAACGGCACCGCAGCGCATTGAATGGCAACGGAAAGTTGCCCCTTGTCTGAATGGCACCGT